GTATTTGACGATAACTCGTTCGGATATTTCGTATGTGGTCAACCAAGTTAGCCAATTCCTTCAAGCCCCTACTATTCCGCATTATCAAGCAGTTAAGCGGCTTCTACGATATGTCAAGGGTACGATTTCTTTCGGACTCTCCTTTTCCAAACCGACATATACCACTCTTGTAGGCTACTCTGATGCTGATTGGGCTCTTTGCCTCGAGACCCGCCATTCCACTTATGGTTACTTGATATTCCTCGGGGGCAATCTTGTATCCTAGAGTGCCAAGAAACAACCAATTGTCTCTCGCTCCAGTTGTGAATCTGATGATCGAGCAATGGCCAACACCGCAGCGGAAATCATTTGGATCACTCATTTGTTGCAAGAACTTCATGCACTGCCACCGGATCGTCCAACATTGTTATGTGATAATCAAAGTGCTCTGTTTCTCACTCAAAATCTCGTTTCTCACAAACGTGCCAAGCACATTGATCTTGACTATCATTTTATTCGTGAACTTGTGTCATCCGGTAAACTTCACACCAAGTTCGTTCCGACCAAGCTTCAAGTGGCCGACATTTTCACAAAGAGTTTACCACGTCATCAGTTTGAGTTCTTTTGAGAAAAGCTTTGTATTGGTCCGCCACCGTTTCGCTTGAGGGAGGATATTAGACACACTTAGCATTTGCACTTCCATATGTTTATGTATAGTCATGTATCTCTTTAAATTATTTGAGGTTGTAAAGTGTAAGTTGTATTTCTATAAATGATAAGCCTCTCCACCTAATTGGGTGTGATGAGTACCATTATCACTTGCAATGCTTCGACAATCTGTTGAAGAATCCCAAACCATTAGCGCCTCAGAGTTTCAAAACTTCCAAAGCATTGTTATATCTAGCTTGTCAAAGCATGTTTCAACAATTGCCTTTTCTACCCAAACAATTGAGCAATCTTTAAATGCTTTATCTGAAAGAGTTTCCATCCTGGAGACTTCTTGCAAAGCTCAAGCCACATCTTATAAAAGAAGACATGATGATCAAATGGGAGAACAAGCATCAGAGAGTGGCTGAGTCATCTGGATTTATGGGATTTGAGTCAGAAGAGAATGAGGGTTCTAAAGAGCATATTGAAAATTTTGGTGCTAGGGACAGGGAGAGAGATTGTTTGGTATGTGAACCCAGAGATAGAACCAATGGTTGAAAAGCTTGAGGTTTCTACAAAAGAATTAAGGATGTTACTGGGTGAATCAGTTGAAGTAATTGATGTGGATTCTGAATATGAAGGTGGAGGTCGGGATTTCTACATCAAGACTGAAAGAGATATTGTTTCAGACGATTTAATGTTTGATTTTGAAGCTGACTTGAATGACAATGAATTAGAATTCCCATTTCCTTATATGCCTAATAAAGAACCAGAACCCGAACCTGAACCACATGTGTATCCTGAACCAACTTCTCAACCCCAAGTTTCTAAAAAAGTTTCATCTTCTAACAGAGTTTATATTCCAATGTCTGAAAAAGTACTTGCACCTAAATGGAACAGAACGAGAATCAAAGAAGCATTTTCTTGAAGATGTTTATCGTAAAATCTTTGTTCACTCTCTAAGGGATCTTGACGTTGAAAAAGTGTTGGGAGTCCGAAGGGAGAGTCCAGCTTATAAATTAAAATACAAGTATTTCATGAATGCCAAAAGCAGACCTGTTCATCGTATGAAGACTGAAGACCAGGCACCGAATCTATCGATTAAGAAGGTTGATGCCAAACAACTGTTCTAGTTATGGCATCCAGTCTTTTACATTATCCACCAAGATGGAAATGAGTGGAGCTTTTGTGAAGCAGATTCTCCGAATATGTATCTTGAAGACTTAGAGTTCATGTACCACGAATTCAGAAATCGAACGAACAGATTGGAAGGAGTTGTAATTGCATTGGAGGCCATTAAGAAGTTCTTAAGGCAACATATCAAGTTATCTTCGGTAATTGATGTTCTAATGGGTTTTGAAAGTAATCAAAAGAAGGTAAACATGCTTAAACCTAATCAAGAGCTTGTAGATGTTGATAGTTATCCGATGTACATGATTTTTGAAGATCCTATGTTCGATGTGGTATACAAGAATTCTAAAGGTGCAAAAAAGATTCCTAAGAGTTTCTGAGCTATCAAAGTACTGTGATGGTACAATCAAAGTGTTAAAAAGACAGTTGGAATTCAGAAAGATGTTTAATGATAAAGCAGCAGGGTCTGACAAGCTGAACATGAAAGAAAGGTATTTGTTGCTTAAAGCTTTAGAGTTGTTTGATGAGAAGATTGAATTGGAGACTCATCTTGGATTCAGGAGATCAAGATTTACAATATCCAGAGCTTGAATCCAAAGGGGGAGAATGTTGGGTTTTAATTTTTTGTACTGTATTCAAGCTTATTTCCTTGTATTTCCTGTTTGTATAAATAGGTAGTTTGCTTATAACTTTGATACGTGCATTGTAATTTTATTCTGTAAACTTTGGAGATCAATACACTTTAAGCTTTGAAGATATTCTCTCTCTACTCTCTAAACCTGTCGTTAATCAGATGTGTTTATCGCATTTGCTTGATGCAATGAGATAGGGTTGTCCCATCCTTGTGATGTGATGAGATGGGGTTGTCTCATCCTTGTGGTGCGAAAAATTGAGGTTTGATGCGATAATTGTTGTTCATATGTTAACTTTCCAAAGATTGGTTTTCCAAAATTGTTTTGGTGATTTTCACCCTGTAATAGCTATCAAGGGATTACTCAATACACCTTATGGTCTAACCCTCATTTTGTTTAAAAAAAAAAGTACATTACAGATCGGGTACATTCGAAAGGTAAATGGAAGGGGAAGATGTGGCATGGAAGTGTTATAGCTTTACAATTTACATATGTTATTTGACGAACGTGAATTTTTGTGGAAGCTGTGAAATACATGAGCTGGGAATTTGTTATATTCAAGTCATGTAATTTGTGAGAAAAAGTTTGTAACTACTTTTGACAAGTAATGATGTGTACATTTGGGGCCAGTGTGCATTATTTAAATTTCATGTTATATGAAATTTGTATGTTTTATGCAAATATGGGATGGGTTGTTACAGCCTAGCCTTGACTTTAAAAAAGCCCAAGACCTTGAGCCTTGTGAGTCTTGGATCCTAGGAGCACCTCAAGCGCGCTTTTAACTATTTGGGGTATCATTTTTGTATTTTGTACCATGACAAACCAATCAATTCCGATACCAACCATACCAATTCAGTTGGTACCAACCTAATTGGTTGGTAGTACCGTACCAACTATCTAAACTTGGTTGGTAAGTGGTATTAGAAGTCGTGTACCACGGTAATTCCGTAACGCACAGACTTATTTTTTTAATAGTTTATTAACTAAAGTTTAGTATAATACAACATATTTTGATTCTAAATTTTAGATGTTCTTATTTTCAGTTTTGCTAAATTATGATATGGATGGATATATAGAACTTGATTGAATGCATTCGCATAACCTAACAACCTTAGTAACTCGTCTACACCTTCACGGTCCATTGTCGCTTCTCAATGGCCGTTTGTATTAAATATTAATGAATGGTTGTACCAATTATAATTGGTTGTACACGGTAGTTGGAAAAAGAACATGGTACCGTACTATGTTCACCCCTACTTGCTCGATTGCTCCTAGTGGACCATGATTGGTGTAAAAAGTTCTGCAATTATAGCCCTAGTTAAACTGGCAAAACTTGCATTTCCCTTGTCATCAATGGATTCCCGACATATACGAAGGAGTGCGGTTCATTCCAGAACACTTGAACAAACTATGAACCCTATTTTCACGATTGGGACCCATAGTTGTTAAAAGTGCGCCTAGGCTCTGAGGCTCATAAGGCTCAAGGTCTTTGGCTTTTTTCAAATCGAGGCTCGGCGTATTCACAAGGCTCACTAAGGCACTTGTCGGCTGAGGCCCTTGCGAGCCTCATAAAGAGTTATTAAGTATCTATTTAAACCCCAAGAATAAACAAGTTTTCTCATCTTCTCATCTCCTAGACTAAAGAAGTGTTATTAAATAGATGATATAAGTCATACCCTAAATCCCTAATATTAAATGCCTGATCCTTAGAACTTCAAGCCTCATTCTCTATAAATACTCAGACCTAAGAACTTCTTCAAGGCTCACGCTTTAAACCCTTCTGCCTCTTATCGAAGTAATGTTGGTTGCTGCATGGAGGCTTGTACTTGCCGCATATTTGAGTTGTGCATGACTGTTTGTATCTCTGTGTGTGTATATATCGATAAGATGCACCTCACTTTCCTGAGGCCCAGACCTTGCATGTAGGCCCCGGGACCCCTTTGTGCCTAAGTGCACCTTGAGCCTTTAACCACTTTGTTAGGACCTAGCTGTAACCATTTATCTTGACATAAAAAGCATAATATATCAAACAAACAAGTGCTAATTACCTACACTGTAGTTGCTTAAACAACCCCAAATCCATCCCTCTCTAAGGAAGGACAGATACGACTATTTATGCCAGAATAAACCAAGGACGCATCCAGATGGAAGATTCTGCAGCCTTAAAAGTAAACGTCCATCCAAATGGAGCACCACCTACTGCATTATAGCGTGGCTTGAACTTTTACACAATGGGCCACACTGAATAACAAAGAAGCAACCTAATTTTATGATGGTCACCGAAAATTATTAAAAAAAACCTTATACATCCAAGGCCTAGCATATGGAGGTTAAGCTGCTAGCAGAAACAAAAGTTGAGATCAAAAAGAAAAAATCCATGAAAAGAATTGTAAAACCCATCAAACCACACAAATCCCCGATAATTACCTAGGTTAGACCAAACATCACGGCTTACAAAGCCAAATAAAGACTCAATTTAAACCGATTCATAAGCTTGATATCAAGAAAACCCAAATATTGACAAGTCATAAGCAGATTTGCATCAAAAGAGCGGAAACACAGAAGATGTGAAAGACGTTATTAAGCATGTGTTTGGTTCAGAAAACTCACCCACGACACTCGATCCTCCTGAGCCAAGCGCCATGGGTTCACAATACAAAATAGGTCTTTTGCGCTGCTACGATATGCTTAGATCGATTTGATCGAGGAAAAGATATCAGGGAGACAGAGAAAGAGAGGTGGATGAAGAATCTAAAGAAGGGCGGAGGGGTGAGACGGAATAAAGAAGCAAAGATCAATAAATTAATTGCAATTTGTTTACAAGATACATAGATAGAGAGAATAGGTGGTGTAGGGTAGGGGGGTGGGGGAGGGCTGCATCTTGTTAACAATCTGCGTCAGGGTTAACCCCGTTGAGCAATAATTTTAAAGAGTAAACTACAAAATGGTCCCTACACTATGTTAAAAATATAGTGATCTCCCTCAAAAACATAAAGTATTTCTAACGGGAATTGATTCGGTGCATCTTGATACATTCACTAGTGTTGATTTTCAATTATGATTGATTTAAGGGTAGAGATCTCTTCTCACTATAACTGTCATTCTCACTGGAATCTAACTGTATGTGTGTATATGTATATTAAAGAACGTGACCTCTTCTCTCTCAACCCTCAAGGTGACACACACTCTCTCTACCCCTATTTCCTTCCCCAGCTAGCATCCCCATTTCCGGCTACCTCCATTATTTCTTGCTGAAACCCCCTTAACAGCCCTATTCCCTTCCCCATCCCCATCTCGTAGGTTGCAATCTTGTTTGTGTTCATGTAGAGAGTTACCAACAAATTTTTCTTTGTCCTCATTGGGAAGAGTGGAGGTCGTCGCTGACTACGATTCCAAGTCGAATAACAGTTCCAGTTCAAGAACAGAAACAAAGGGAACGAGAGATGGGAGGGAAGAATATATCTCGTTCAGCGTTTTTGAGTTAGAGTTATGGTCTTTGATTTGGGGTTTCTTGTGCTTTTCTTCTGCTTAGAGATTTAGGGTTTCTTATTAGATTTTACGTTTTTCAGTTAGATTTATGGTTTTTGAGTTAGGGTTTCTTGTACATATTTTCTACTTCGGACAAATTAAATGAATTTTTTGAACTTATAAGTCGAATATTCCTCAATTTCTTGGTTTTTTGGGTTGAATAAGATTTGAGGTTGTGAATTTTGTGAACTTATAGTTGAATGTTTCTCATATGATTATAAAAATGGTTGAAATTCTCCCAACCAAACGCCTTCCAGACTAATGGAGTTAGTTCTGAAACATTCAAAACAAAGCGTATACCACAAATACTATTATTGTACCTTTTGCATTTGATGGACCATATTCATATTCTTAGGTGGCGTTTAGTTTGCAGATTCTGGAGGAATCTGATGGAATTGAAATATTGAATTTCATTGATCAAATTTCATTCCCTCGTKTGGTTCATTCTTTTTTATGAAAGGAATCTTAAAAATCCTACAAATTCCACAAATAAAGGAATTTAACATTCCTTAGCAACTATATGGTATTTTAATAGAATGAAATCTCTATCTTCATTATACCAAATATATTCTTAACCTAATATACTATAATCTTATGAAACTCAATATGACCATCGTCAACCACCACTCGACCACTATTGATCTGAACCACCGCCGACCACCACCACCGACCACCACCGACCTGAACCACCGCCAACCACCACCACCGATTACCATCGATCTGAACCACCGCCGACCATTGGGGCATTTTGGTCATTTACCAATATTTTATTCCAATTCTAAAACTACATTATGTGAACCAAACAGACAGATTCTAATTCCTTAACAGATTCCATTCCAATGTTTGTCAACCAAACAGGTGGTCAATCTGACAACATTTCATTCCAATTTTTTCAAAGTCAAATTTCTTTAACAGATTACATTCCATTCAAAAACATTCTGCTAACCAAACGTCACCTTAGCATACCATGTATCATTTTTGTAGTCAACTCTATTATAAATGAACGACATTACAAAACATATAATTTTTAAAGTTTTATATGATTTAGCATCAAATAATGTATAACTATATATAATAGTTGTACAGAATTAATAAAATTACATCTAAAAATATTAAAGAAACAGAACAACCAATAGGAAACTTGATTCAAGTTTCCTTTATTTGAGACATGGATCAAGAAGCTTGGGGTTGTTTGGTTCACAAAATATGAAGGAATATCGATGGAATTAGAATGACGAATTCCTTGAAGATGTCTGGTTTATGGATAGAAGTGATTGGATCTTGTCGAATTCCACAATTGAGGATTTGATCATTCCTTGGCACAATTGAAAGATTTGAATTCCATTTCATGACAAATGTTATAATTTTGGTTTTAAAAGGACAAATAATTTGTGCATCCAATTTAGTTAACACCACCCCCACTCTTACCACCCACGAGCATCCTCACCACGCCAATCGCCCAACAACATCTTTGCTCCCACCTCGTCGCCCACCTCCCACCAACTTCCACTCCCCCACCACCATTAAGTTGTTGCCATAACCGCACTTAGCCCACCCCATTGTCACCACAAACACCATTATTGTTCGCCATCACAACTACCAAGCACCTACCCTCACCTCAGCGCCACCACCATGCTACTACCATTACAATAACACCACCAGCCATGACCCCTTACCAGCCTACTACTGTCAACCAACCCAACCTAGACACCAACATGCCACTGTTGTGGTCATCACCCCTCCCCCAGACACCCCCAACATTCAAAGTCAAATTCGTTTGATGGATTCTGTGAAGCAAAGGCTCCCTAATAGTATGCACATTATATGTGACACCTCAAAATAGGGTAAATAAATAGATATGAAAAGGAAAGGAAAAAGGAAAATAAAATAAAATGAGTTTTCATTTTATTTGATGAAAAATGTGAAAAAAAAAGAGTAGAAAGGGGTCAATTCTACCATTTAATGAAAATTATAAGTGAATAAAATGTTAATATTCACTTGGATCGAAAATGTTAAAGTTGTATTTCAACAAAGGTTAAAGTGCAATTTTAGAAAGTTAAGGGGGGTTGAATAGCAACATGTCCAAACTTGAGAGGTCTGTTTGCAACAAAAACAAAAAGGTCTTGATTTTGGTGTAGGAGGTATGGCCATTCGATAGGTATGGCCGAAATTTTCAGCTTGATCATCATATTTGGAGCATAAAAGCTTCCTATACACATTGTTATCAATTGCTCACACTAATTTGGAGAAAAAAATAGAGTTATAGTGAGAGAAATATAACGAAGAAGCTATGGAGGTTGAGTTACGGTTTTCTTTAATTTGAGCTAAGATATTTAACACAATCTTGTGATTTTTATATGCATAGCATCGTTTTGAAGGTCTCTATCGAACCCCGGTAGTTTCATATTTTAGATTTATGTTTTAATGGTCCGATTTGGTGTTCAAAGTTGTTGAATTTTAGTTTTAAAAATCTAAACTTTAAATGAGAAAATGGAACTTAATTCTTCACAAAAATTTATGTTATTTATATCAAAATCTTGGTAAAATTGTTATCAAAGCTTTGTGCAAAAAGAACGAAGAAGGAAGAGCTAAAAATGAGTCAAAATCAAGCACAAACGCTCCAAAATTGTAATAATGGTTGTTGCCATTATTTTATATATTTTTATATAAAATAGAGGATTTTGTGACAAGTTTAAACCTACAACCTCTAGTGTAAATGACCAATATCTTACCATCAGTCTAATGAATATTTTTGGCCATTTAGGTTGCTTTTGGTATATGGGACATGACATAATGGTTATTTGACATTTTGGGACGTCATTGAGTTTTAAACTTGGGGTTTGACTAAAGATGGTTGAGGTTGGCCAAGTTGACCAATGGTTGACTTTTTACTTCGTTTGACCTATAAAGATTTTAAAGATGAGATGAAATTGAGATATTTGAGACTTATTAAGATATTACGAGTTCGACTTTAGGTCAGTCGAGTTCGACCATAGTTGACTTTTGGAGAAATTTAGCCATTAATTGGATATGGTGATATCAAATATGTAGGTCTTCAGTCAGTAACTATCAGTAGTCGATCTATATAAACATGTAAGTTTTCATGAGACTTATAGTGTAATGCATACCTACATACAATTTTTTAGCATTGTATGGTGATGTGTGTGTACAACGATGTTTCAATTTTCATACATGTTAAAATATATTTTATATGTATGTCAATTATTTATGATCAGTTGCATGTTTTATATTAATTGTTCTCAAACAATTCAAGCATGCTATTTCATACAACAATTTCATGATCGGTTTTAGCAGGTAGGCGTTTGACCAGTAAGTCAGGGACAAGTGACATGATCTAGACAAATGGGTGATCCAATAGAACATATGTTTCAACCTCAAGGCACGTCAGTGACTAAATGACCCATACTTGACCAAAAAAATTATGAGATCTCATTTATTTCAACATTGCATGGTTTTTCAGAGAACTGCATAGTAGCTGATACAAAGTTTACAAGTTGATTTGTGTGATGTGAAATGATTTTATGCACGCAAATATTAAACTCACTTACCTTTTTAAGCAGACTACAGTATGCATCTTAGGAACATAAATGTTCAAGGTTATAAAAAGGAAAACAACACGCATAGATACTTGCATTTTCCATTAAGGTTTAGTATTTATATTTAGACATTATGTTGGATAAAGTTTATAAGGCAACCCGGTATGGGATAGATTAGTATTTAAGTTACATATTTATTATTTTTAAAATCTTTCGCTATAAACAGTTTTAGTTCAACTATTATTTTGGAGTTACTACAAGAAAGTTATTGATAATGACGTAACATCAACGGATGGTAAAAATGAGGATGTTAAATTATCATGCCCATAAATTTTGCCACATAAAATAACCAGAGATCGAAATAATATATGAGTACGTGTGCATATTTTGGGAATCAAAATTTCTATCGAGTTGAATATGGTACGGTACAATGTTTTATTTTTTTAATACCGTGTACCAAACCAACATAATTGGTACAGGAATTTTATATCGTGCATAACCCATCTTTTTTTTCGGTTGGTATTAGTTTTGTTACACAAACTTACAATGTTTAAAGCTCAATAATCTATGAACAAAAATTGAAGTACAATATTCAATATTTCGTTCTTTTTTTGTTATTGATTAACCTGGATATCCAACCCGCTATATGAGCTGACTAATCCCAGGACGACCACCTGCTTTGCAGATAGCCCGAAGTCACCGCATTTGAACCTCTGTGGCCACAAAGAAATTTTTATTCTTTCTTGAATTTGAACCTGTGACCTCCTGATACTTTTGACCTTTGGAAACTAATACAAGCAATCAAGCGGCGTGT